ATAACCACATAGCTGATTTTCAAGAGGCTCTTTTCTTTACACTTTTCAGTATTTTTTCTTCCTTTTCGGCAATTCCCATTAATTACTACGTGACAGTATTTGATTTTCTTTGTTTACTCAAGTTTCCATGGAAATGCACAAAATATGGAAACATGTCTCGGTTAATCAGAATTTTTAAAATAGTGTTTCAATTAATTTCAGTGGTGGGTAGGTTTTTCTCGTTTCTTAAAACTGGGATTCTGAGTATATCTTGAGATTTCAGTATTGTGTTTTGTAAAATATTCTTCGTCTTGATTTGAACAACCCAATTTACTCGTACCGTTAATGTGCGATATTTTCAGTTAAAAATATGATACAGTCACACCAGATATATGTATGAAGATGAGGTGATTTTCTTTTCAAAAACACATTTTACTGAAATAGGAGACATTTAAGACAGTAAAGGGATCGTGTTCTCATATCAAGCTCGCAAATGAAGTCAGCGTAGCTTCAATTGAAAACCTGACAGGGTCTTCCAACCGTCTTTTATTATTCTGGAAAACACTAGTTATTTTTCACAACCAAAATTGAAATAGTTAATTTTGTAGTCTTACTAATTCTGGCCAATTTCGGCCAAACTTTATATTTTCAGTGAATGGACTATAAACTATACAATAAACACAAAGTAATTGAATAAAAGCAAGTCTTTCTGAAAAGTTAAAAATTGTTTTTCTTTCAATTTGGATACTACTACTGATATATATAAAGTCAGTTACACTATGTAAAGATGTTATCGTTTCGAAAGATGTTTTCAAGTTCTAATAAGACAGCCACAATACTTTCTTTCATGCTGTTAAGCTCAAAATAGAGAAAATGGTCATCAATGTTTGTGATAATTTGCTGTGTGGTTGTTCATTCCATGTTTAATATAACAGCTTTGTTCATTTATGGTTTATAATCACACTGCGTCACATTTACATAACGTTTCCAAGTAAAATCACTAAGGCCAGTAATCACTACTATAGCCATCATATTGACACAACATTTTAACATTGGGGATAATTATGGACCAAATGGGTTAAATGAGGCTAATCATAGACCAATAGGTTGAATAGGGCTATTTTGGAGAATAATGGGTTGCATTTGGCTAATTATGAACAAACAGGGCTAAACTATGGACCAAATAGGTTGAAAAGATTAATGTTATACCCAATGAGTTGAAGGAGGTTATTTTGGACATATTGGGTTGAATTGGGCTAATTATGAACATGTAAATTATAAACCAAATGGGTTAAATTGGAATAGGGCTAATTTGGGAGCATTTTATCAGAACCTCAACATTTGGGGGCTTCAACACGAAGTGAAACCAAGCATACATGTACAATGACATTTTGGAAATGAAGGGAGATTAAGCTGAATTCAAACTTGCCACTATTGAGCATGTTTCCCTGCATATGTGCAATGCATTATGGGACAGAATGTACTATTGAATATAACAGAAAAATACATGCATTATTGCACTGAAAATTTGGCAATTATATCAATTAAAATTTTGAGATATAAAGAAACTTATAAAATAAAATTCTGTCATTTTCAATTGCATTTCAAACTTTTGTTTCTACTTGAATTGTCCGATGACCTCAATTTTGATTTCAGCATAGTCTATAACTCGGTCTTTCACCAAACATGCTTTAAATTTTCTCAAGAAAATAAACTTATTTTATATATACTAATTTTTGAAAGTTGGTTTTAGTAGTCTTCAAATTTGGTGTGGTACTCTCTGTTGTACTCTCCATAATGAAATGATGTTTTCTGGTTGAATAGACCAACTACGTTTGGAATTCTCCTTAGAATTGAGGAAAATACTCTCTGACAGACACCAACTTTTAGCACTGACAGCCACTCGTTAATTTTTGATAGTAATTCTAAATATTTGATGGTCTGTGACTAAGGGTTGGAAATCCACACCGTCTCCATTAGATGCACTATCAAACCCCTCAAATATTTTGTGAATATCAAGGAATGAATAGAGAACTGATCCACAATTTTAAAGTAGACAGAGGTGAGCAACACACACACATTTAC